CCATGGAAACACACACAGCATACAGGAATAGCACAGGTGAGTTTTTAATGAATTTGAATGCCCCCAATTCAGACTGAAAGCATCTTTACAGAATAACTCACATTCAAGACATCCCTAATTTTCTCACCAGACGATATCTGTGTGTGCCAAGAAGGATTTAAAGAGTGCTCTTGGTTACAGGATTTAATCCCATGCTTAGTTAGGGTCAGTATGTCAGTGTACTCTGTTCTATCAGTCGCATTGATGTAAGAGTCTAAAACAGAGTGGACTGTCAGAGTGAGGAGCTTATTTGAATTTTCCAAACTCAATTTTATGCCGCTCTCCTGTCTGTACAGTAAATAAATATGAAGCTACCACCAGCAGCCAGTTATTTTATTATGCTTAGCATAGCATAAAGACTGCAAACAGAGGGAAGCAACTAACCCGGCTCTGTCCAAAGGTAACAAAATCCGACTACCAGCACCTCCAAATCTCACTACTTAACACGTTATATCTTGTTAGTTTAATTTTTACAATAAACTAACTGTAAAAATACCAAGTTGTGGTTTTACATGAGATTATGTGCAGGATTACTTCATGGTCAGAAGCAGTGACTTTTGTATTCCCCAAAATGTAAAACTATTACTTTAATGTTGGATATGAAAACCTCGTATTGGAGTCGACACCTACAAAACCTGATCTGGTTTGTTCATATGATTGCGTAGACAAGCTACGGAGAAGCATGCCCAACCTGATCCGAGCTCCCAGCATGCCCAGTGTTCCCAGTATTCCATGCCTGGCTTCCCCTGTCAACCCATCCTCCCACGGCCCCTCTTCCTTGCCAGCAATATCCTCCCTACGGAGCAGCCAGAGCTTTGACTCATCCAGTGGGCTTGCACGACTCCAGTCCTCCAGTAAGACTCTTTTCCTCAAGTCTATGAGCAAATCAGCCATACACTGCTCATTATATTGACTTTTTTCTGAAGGCATTGCAATTCTGTCACTGATGTTAGACTTACTTTAATCTAAGTGTTCTCTTGCTGTGTTTCAGTTCCTTCCCCCGGCCAGCTCAGCCAGCGAGTCCAGAGTGTGGGGAACTTTCCCACCACTCCCCGACATCCACTGAAAGCCACAGCCTATGTAAGCCCCACAGTACAGCAGGGCCCCACCTCCACCTCCCTGTCCACCTCTACCAGTCTACACTCCATCCCCAGCAATGCAGCACTGCCTCAGCCCCTCAAACCCAGCGGCAGTTTGGTACCTCAGCCCCTAAAAGCCAGCGCCAATCAGTCGGCTGTCCTTCGCAGTGCCCTTCCTCGCCCAGCCTCTTTTGTAGGGACAAGTGGAGTTCCACGATCAAGCAAAATCACACAACCCACACGCAGGTAAGGACAGATATACTGACTAAGTGAACTTAATGTAACAGATTGTGTCCATCTGTTTGACTTATCTCAGTCTATTCTGTAAAAGACCTTTGAAACTGGGTTTGGAGCTGTGTCCCAAATCCATATTTCATACTAATTTTAAGCATGTTTTGAGTACGCTGTGTGTTGAGACTGTAAAAGTGACAAGATAAAGTACATTCAAAACAGTCAAAAAAAACTTGATTTTCACATGTACCGTTCTTCCACAGTGCAATGTGTAAGAGAAATCGAGGACCTACTCAGCTGGAAAAATACAAAATTTGTGTGGGTTCCAGGAACACCTTGCAAAACAAAAAAAGTTTGCTTGACGTCCAACATTACAAATTGTATCATTACTTGTTAGTAAGTAAAGGGTTCAGATATGTTAAATGTTTTTTTGTATAGTAACGGCATAAACAGTTTACTATAAAGATTAATATGTAGTACATTCTGTGTTATTTGATGATGAATCACTTAATCGATTAGTTGATCAAAAGAAAAACTATTTTGATAATTGTTTAAGTCCATTTTTAAGCAATGATGCCAAACATTTGATTGTTCCAGGTTCTCATATGTGAGAATTTGCTTGGTCTTGGTCTCTTATATCATAGTAAATCACCTAAGGGGTTCTGAGCTATGGGTCGAACAAAACAAGGCATTTCATGATGTGCTCTAGGATATTGAGACGGGCATTTTTCATTGTTTTCTGATGCTTTATAGAGCAAACCATGATGAACTGCTAAAGTTAATAATCATTAGTTGCAGCCCTCTACTCTATACAGTAAGTGAGTAGAATGAAAGTGGGACACAGCATAGGTGTTTAAACAATTACAGTGATTGTCCTGAGGGAGGTGCTAAAGTTATAGTCAAACTTTTAAGCTAAATCAGTTTGTTTATGATACTTGAGTGGATGATTTGTCTTTTTAGTTAATTTATTAATTTGATTCATTTAGGTATTTAATCGACTTGTTTCTTTCTGTCTGCAGTTTGCTGACTCCTCCAAAGAGCCTGGCTGCCCTGAGTGCCCTGAGGGATGGGAGCTGGAAAGATGGCTGCTACTGAACCCAAATGATCTGAAGCTCAAGAGGTGCACAGGGTAACACTGCATGGGACCCAACTACAAATTTAAAACTTTGCTGTCAGGAGGGCCTGGGACCCAAGTGAGAGTGACTGTTAACATTTCTAAAAGGCACTACTCTTTCACTGAAGGACAAAGTAGAGACTGAGAACTGTATGGGTCCAGCAGGCTGGATCTTTACCTTACTACCTGCTGAAACACTGACTGACACACTATGAAACAACCTGGCAATATTCTGTTAATCAGTTGTTAAATGTGAACTGGATCTTCTTTGAGATTTTTTGATTTGTCATTGTGGATAATTAAGGGGACCTATTATGGTAATTTTCAGCTCTGTATTTTTCTGGATTAGCTTTGCGTGATTCACAGTTCAAATAAAATCCTTTATCTTACTGTATATTGGGCCTTTGTACAGCTCCTCAGAGCAGATGATCATATAAGGACATCTGTGCCGATCTGAGCATACGATCGTCAGTGCAGTCTAAAGCCTGAACTTTTTGCTCACAGGGATTACTTTTACATACATTTACCTCATGAAACTTTGGCCATGTTTAATATGAAAATCTGACATTTTGAAAATATAACAGAAAATAAGGGAAAGCATAACAGGTCCACTCTAAAGGTGCAATGTGTAAGAATTTAACATAAAAAATTAACATAATCAGATGAATTAGAAGAAATAACAGTTATGACGTTATGTCAAAGTCGTCTATATATAGGGTGACAGACACATTTACTGAAGTTAGCATGCTAACCAGTTAGCCCCGGCCTGTCCTGTCTCGTAATACCACTTTGTATCTCAAGAGGCGATAGTCCAATAGTATCGCTCAGGCCTCCACCTGTAGTTTCAGCTAGATACTGTATGGACGAGTGGAGAGTTCGCTACGTTAAACAAGGTCTCTTAGCTTTTTTAGTCTAATAAATAAACAAACAAAATAAACCCACTCAAATGTCAAGAAAGGAAAGATTCTTATGCAGATTTTCATCGTCAAACACATTCTGAATTCGAGTCACCTAAAACTGTCTTGTTTAGTATTTACACTGGTCCAATATTCTGGCTCTACACTCTCTCGCTGCCTCTCTAATGCCCAACCTGTAACCACCTCGGTAATGTATTCTGTTGTCAGACTGGCCTCTGTCAGTCGCGGAGGCTGTGTTCAGTCCTGGTCCGGTCATGAAAGCCCGGTTCTGTTGCCCCCTCCGGTTCTAGTGCCCAGTATGGTCTCATTCAGCTAATGGGACCGATAAGTTAGCCGCTTGGCTAACTGAGCTAATAGCAGTTATGACCTGACATGTGATATGCTGCCCCCTATGTTTTTGGTGGATAAAATGAGGGGGACAGTAGTCTAAATTTTTACACATTGCAACTTTAAGGCTTTCATTCAAAAGAATGAGCATTTCTCTCCAGTTGAAAGGTTAGAAAAAATAGCCCATGCTTTTGTACATGCTTTTAATGATTTCATATGAATAATTTTGCAATTATCCATTTTTGTCAGACTGTGGTGTCACATATGAAGTTGAACCTGGAATTTTCTTAAATCCTGTGCCTGTTAAAAAGTAGTGTAATTCATGTCAGTTATATTTATTGGCTAGACCTCGCAGCACTTTTAATCAGAATTATGATTAACACATTAAAATAAATGATCTTCATTGTTTTTATAAGTACAGTATGACATTCGTTAAAGTAAGAGTACGCACATTATTATTTGGCTACTTTCTTTTCATATATGTTTACATAAGAGCTGAGATATTTAATGTTCTTTGATAAACATACTCGCTGCAGTGGTATTGCACATAGAGTCCTGATGCTTTTTATGGATGACGAGAATTTAATGAGGAGGTGAATTTTTAAAGTGAATAAAAGCCTTTCAAAAAATGTTTCATATTTTTACAGTCTTTACTGAATATAGTTCCCTTTCTGGTTTAAAGTGTCAAGAAAATTAATTTCTCAAATTCACGCCAATGATCAACTACAGATGGCATTGCTGGTCCACTGAGCACACAGCAAGCTGACAATGTGTAAAAATATATGTCAGTAATTGATGCACATTTTGAGTGAGTAAGTGAGTGACATATTTATTTATGTAAAAAGTAACGATGGTGAAAACAGTGATGTTTTAAAAAAGCATTGCTGTAACTGTCAAGAAATGAGCTTAATTTTACTTCTAAAAACAGAACATTGGTCACTGCTCAATTGTAGTCCTGAAAGACCATCCACTAAATTTCCCAAGGCATGTAAAACAATTAAGGCAGTGGTGGCCTAAAGTTGATGTGCCTTGAGCAAAAAAAAATATACAAAAGATACAAAACAACATGAATCATCTCCCACAACCTGCAAATATACAACTCCATGCAAACAAGTCCAATTACTGATAAGCCATACTGAGTTCTCTAAAATATAATGGTGAGGATTTGACTCTAATTTTAGCACAGTACACTTGTTTACCTGGTAGCAGGGGAGGTCTGTTAGCTCCGCTGGGGACCATGGAGCCAAAGTGACTAATGTTTAACAGATTAGTATGTTGATGATGAATCTCCCCAGTAACACTCAAACCATGCTCATTTTTGACACGCTGTACCTAAGGGTAAGTGAATTCAATTTCTGCCTGCTATTTTGGATTTTACACTGTAAATGTATGTTTATTATCTAGCAATTGCTTATGTCTGTACAGAGAAATGTTTTTCACAAGATCTTTGTTAAATTAGGTTTGTGAAGACAAATACCTAGAGTGTGACTTGCATTGCTGATCTTTTGGAATTTGAGATAATGCCCAACAAAGCCCAAGAGGTATGTGTAATTTCTTTTCATTTTTACTTCCATGTATCTTAAATCAGCAAAGACATTTCATTGACATTCATTGACACCGTCACTGAAGGTAATGAATCCTTTTTAAATCCCTTTATCTTTAGGTGAGTTTGCATGTCTTTTTTTTTTTTTTTAGGATGCTGTAATTAACTTGAAGACATTGCAGGAGATTTCCATGCAGCTTGGTTTTGAGTGGACAGTTTTGGCGTATGAGCTTGGCTTCAACAGAACTGAAATAGGGCGGTTCCACAGCAAATCTACAGAGAAGAGTGTCCAGGCTAAGACCATGTTGGAAAGCTGGTACAATGTGTGTGTATGTGCATGTGTGTGATGTTGTCACGCTCAGTGTGTATATTAAAGTGTCATTATACTTACATAATACTTCAACATGGCGCATACAGCGGTTTGAAATTTTACCTTTCAAACCAACAACAATGGATCATTTCAAACAACTGCATGCTTTATATATTCAAATAAATGCTCAGTTAGTAGTTTAGTAATTTATTTGGGTTTTCCTACGGTTTACTGGGCTTTGGCTCTTTGACTTTTGGGTCTCACTCTGATACGACTCTATTGCACTATATCTATCTATATCATGCACTATGTTTCTCAAGTGATTCTCAGATGTCCGTCTTTATTCACAGGTATGAGAAGTCATGGGATAAACCCAATAAGACCAAGCTGCTGCAAGATGGACTGGAGCGAGCAGGCAGACGGGACCTGGCTGAGAGGCTGCGCTGCCTCCACTGGGGCCACCAGAAGCTGAGCCGCAGGGTTGAGCTGCCCTCCGCCTTCCCCTTCATCATCACAGTTCATAAGACCATCCACAACCAAGATGCACTACGCAGGATCAATGACCTCAGCCGTAGATACACTTAAAGCTGGACAGAAATGCACATAGTCGTGGCCATACCCATACTTCTTATCTGACACTCATAAACTCAGCTGAACACTGTGAGTAATCTGAAATAAATGTACTGAATGTCGCCGAACAAACAAATGTGAAACATGAGCCATGTAATTTCTTCCTTGTAAAATATTAAGGCTTTGCAGTAAAGATGAAGAGCAAATGTTTACACCTGTGTTGAATTTTAATTTGAAAGGAAAAATGAACAGGACAAAACCTAAAGCTATTCCATTTAGAGTGGTGTAAAAAACAAACAAAACAGAAATGCAGTAAATCCTACCATCTAATAAGGTATGATCAGGACATTTTTGATATTTTTCATACATGGCAGATATATATATATATATATATATATATATATATATATATATATGTATATGTGTGTGTGTGTGTGTGTGTGTGTGTATATATATATATATATATATATATATATATATATATAATGTATAATTGTTGATTAATTTAATTTATTGACTAAATACTACAGTGCTATTTAGTATAGAACAACGAGCACATAGGGTTGTGGTCAGTTGGGTTCAACAAGCTCACATTAAATAATCTGATTCACAATCAACTTTATACAATGTCAGTATACAAGATGCCATGAACATGTATTCAGAAAACACTATAGGGAACAATAAACTAAACAAAGATATAAACATACAGCTATATACAGGCGGGAATATGTATGAATAAACACATATAGATATAAACAACAATGGACAACAAACATACAATATATCTGTTCATGGTTGTGCAGTGAATGCTCGAATAATATTATATGGCTAATGTAATAATTACTTTGTTTAGAGAGGTTGATTATGTTCATCTATTTATGGATATACAAGACACTCAAAAAACATGACAATAAAGGGGTATATTGTAGAATGTGTATGTTACAGCGAAGTGTTAGTATTGCCGGGTTACTGTGCAGGAATTGTGTTCAGGCCTCACATGGGTGCTTTGTTCATGATCACGATGTTGTTTGTATGTTTGTTTTTTTAATATATCATATATGCCTACAACGTGGAAAATGGATTAAATAATTAAAGTTTAATATTGGCAATGTTCATCCAGTGATCTTGAGTCCATCCCGGTCAACCAAACTTATATTGACCCAGTTATATGAACCAATCGCAGAGGTGAAGCCGTTCTTAGCAAGGTTGTGTGAGCGAGCAGGGATCCAGAACGGACGCCAGGCAAGAGTGCCTTCAAAGTAAGAGATTAAATGTTTTTCAATTTGGGTTAAAGCACTAATTTTAGCAGTGGAAAGCACTAAACGTGACAACTGGCATAAAAATGTGTCGAGGTGTTATTGAATTGAATCTGGAGAGAAACAAAGAAAACTCAATGCAACACTTGTACATGAAGTGGAGCTTTATTTTGACTATTTCTCCCGGAGTTGGAGTGTAGCTCCAACCCCCGGTCAGTTGACACTGTTATTTTATGAGAGCCGTGGCTGTCTCCTACCCTCAAAACAGATGACAGCATCGAGCACGACAATCAAAGAAAATTGACAGAACTGTTACAGCGACTCTCGAAGTGCTATTTGAGGATTATCTCTGATTTAAACTGTACATTATGATCATTTGTAGACCGGGAACTGTTTGCTTTCAAACACACAGGCGACCGTTTAGCTGTTAACGTTAAATCGCGGGTCATGTATTTTTCACAGCATCATGATTGATCTTCTATAAACGGATGTGTCAGTATCAGCGCGCAGACCCTTTCGTGTTATTGAGTATGTTAACCGCGTGACAGCGGGTTATTTGAAACCGTCGCCGACTTAAAAATAATAATAAAAAATAAATAAAAAAAGCTAATTGCTGTCTGTGAAGTTGCAGCAATGGCTTCGGCTCTGAGCTGCTTCAGCGGTCCCGAGGTGTTGGAGGACGTAAATCACGCTCGGGGTTTGATGAAAGAGTTGAAGTTACTGTACGACTGTCGGCTGCTCGGGGACGTTACCATCGGAGTTGAATGTGAGGAGGATTCGCTGGAGCAAAAAGGCGAGTCGACCAGAGGCGACATTGACCAACTTTTCCTGTGTAGCCGCAACGTCCTCGCCGCTGCCAGCCCGTACTTCAAAAGCATGTTCACCGGCGGGTTGAATGAGAGCATGCAGGAGAGAGTGGTCATCCGCGGTGTGGACGCCGAGTCCATGTCCGTTATCATCGACTATTGTTACACAGGCAGGGTGACCATCACGGAGAGCAACGTCCAGAGGCTGTACGCAGCTGCCAATATGCTTCAGCTCGAGTACATCAGGAGAGCTTGCTCCAGCTTCATGACAAGAAGGCTGGACCTCTCCAACTGTGTGGGGATACTGAAATTTGCAGACACCTATGACAATCCTGAATTGAAGGAGAATGCGCAAGCTTTCATAGCCAGGAACTTTAGCCAGGTGTGTAGCGGAGGGGACCTTTGCGAGCTGGATTTGATGCAGTTAAAGGAGTTGTTGTCTCTGAACACTTTGGATGTGGACTGTGAAAGGAAGGTGTGCTCGGCTGCTTTACAGTGGATAGAGGCTAATGCGCCGCAGGAAAGAGAGGTTGCACTACAGGCGCTGAAGTGTGTGCGCTGGAACTTGTTTACAGAGAAGGACAAGAACTACCTGGAGGGCCTCATGGCAAGGCCTTTAATTGAGAAATACCTTGCGTCTTTTTTTAACAGATCTACAGAGGACGGCTGTGGAGTGGCCGCAACTCTGGAAGTACCAAAGCACAGAATAGGTGTAAGCGCAAAAGAAATGATTCTCTTCTTCGGCCTGCCCAACGACAACATAATGTGCTGTGACCCTTACTCAGCGGACCTGTATTTCATGGCTCCTCCTTTAGAAGACCTCAGCAGCCAGGATTACAAACGTTCCACCATGGAGTCCTTAATCGCCTGCGCCACACCTGAAAACAACTTGTACCTGGCGTCCCACCTCTCTAAACACTTCTGGCTGTACAACCCTGTGCTCAACAGCTGGCAGGAGCTAGCAGAGAGACCCCTGGGGAGGATACACTCTGGGATGGGCTACCTCAACGGCCATGTGTACCTTCTGGGAGGACGAAATCCAGTGACTGATGCCAGACTGAAGGAAGTGGAGTGTTATAGCGTCCAGAGGAACCAGTGGACCTTTGTGGCTCCTCTGCCTCATTCTCTAGGTAAAATGCAGGTGGTGGCACTAAATGACCAGTTGTATGTGGTGAACAAAAGGAGAATGCTTTGCTATGATCCCAAGAGGAACCGCTGGCGCCACTGTGGGTCTCTGAGAAGAGACAAGCTTCACAAGGCCTGCGTGTTTCAGGACCAGATCATCTGCGTGTGCGACATCCCTGTGGTGAAAGCCTACAGCCCCAACAAGGGGGAATGGAAGAGGCTGGGTGACATTCCCATTGACAGCCGTGCTCTAAATTACCAGGTGATCCAGCACAACAACAAGCTCCTCCTCCTCACTCAGACTTTGCTGCAGCACAACAAAAACCGGGTCCTCATCCATGAATACGAACCAGCCAGGGACACCTGGAAGAACGTCATGGCAGTGTATGTGTCCACCTTGGGGCCCGTGTGTGTTTCAACACGGGTGTACCCAGCATGCCTGGGCTCTGCTCACAGCTTCTGTACAGAGGAGGACGATGATAGTGGCTCCAGTGCCGACTGGGACTTTGATGGGTTGACAGACCCAGACTCGGACTCTGGTAGCTCTAGCTCTTTCTCAGATGAGAACTGGTAGTGAAATGTGTTAATGTGTCAAATAAAAGTTTAACTTATTTATAATGTAATGGATTTATACAGGGTTCTGTCTGTCAGGAGAGGTCATGGATCCAGATTAAATTTAGTATTAAAGCCATTAATTTATAGTAGAAGCACAAGTCCATCAAATCTTTACTTCACATGGACAGTTTTCTTCCATGTCTCACCAGTCTGGCTAATGAGTATTTTCAGAAGGATAGAAGAAACTTTTTCAACCAGCGAGGACAAATACCAAATGACAAGGGCTTTATATCATGTCCTGGGAACATACAGGACAGTATGATGTCTGGTGGAGTCTCGTTTACACAATAACTCAAGACAAATACATGATTGAACCGTAAGTGTACAGCTATAGGTTATAGAGGGGATGATCCTACACTTCCCATAATGCAGTCTTTCCAAACTGAGCCTTTGCAGGGTAGATGCACAAGACCTGAGGAAATATTTTGAATGAAACTGAAGTTTAATATACATTTTCACAGCAGAGACATGTTTAACGCAGGTGCTACTAATAATATGATTAATTGCTGGAACTGAGCCATTGTTAATGTTATTACTTTCACATGTGCTCTTCCTGCCAAGACAAGTCAAAAAGTCCTGTGAAACCGATCTGTGAATCGTAAGAGTGCTCTGATGCTACCAGCTATGAAGATTCATGCAGGAAGCGAAAGGACATTTCAAGTACAAAATGAACAGACTTTTGACAGGGTGGAAAAGAAAAACTTGACGCTCAAACCACGTTAGTCAAATACAAAATACAAAGACGCCTTGAGTTCGGGAGAGCTTTGTGTTTGTTAGCTACATTTTCTTCAGTTTTTCTATGGGGGGGGGGCATGACAAAGAAGTTTGGGAACCATGGCCATAGTGCAATTTAATTACTTCTTTTGTCAGACTCTTCCTTCTTGGTGAACACCCACATTCTTCTTTCCTACTTTGATAAAGCAGGCTGTCTGTTTCAAATGTGTACACTCCAAAGCCAGATAAGATACCCGGGTGATGTCACCTGAGAAATTTCTTTATACTTGACAATGCTCCTCCAGAGCTACAAAAGACATTATCGGTGAAACTTTTAGCACAGGCTGAGTTGTACTAACCATGACTAATAAACTGACTTATTGAATCGGTGGAGGGCCCCTCTAATGCTCGTTGCTTGTGTTGTGTTATATAAAGAGAAGTTTGTGACAGAAATATTTGCTAATAAAGGAAAATAGAACATAGGCGGCAAATGCTTGCAGCATTCACACCCAATAACATTTCACTGAGCTCGAATACAATACTGCTTATGATTGGTTTAAAATCATAAATTACTTTTGGGTCATCAGGCAACTTAAGTGCCTCATGTTGATGACTTCAAACACAACTGGTCATTCACAAGGCTTTAAAATGTGCTGCCATTTTGATGTTGATGATGCACATCAAGACGGCACACAC